TAAGAGCAAAATAATCTGATTGGCTAGTAATGTTAGTTTGGTTGAGAGTGAAAGCTGTGCTCCTCTCATACCATTGGTAGGCGAACTCATGGACTCGAAAGTGATATCAACAAGTTTTTTTTAATGTAGGATTATTTTTTTCCGCAGCCAAACACTGCACGCTGGAGATCCGGCACGGTGCCGGAGAACTTTAAGCCCTGGAGTATGCATTTATTTGTCATTTTAACTGTTTGTAAACGGAGCGTAAATGTGGAAGTCCTTCAAAGATTTCTTATCCTGTTGCGCCCTCTATAGGACCAGCGACTAGTCGACATCAAGCTTAAAGCGTCATGGCAGAGCATTGAAGTCGACTAGTCGATTAGTCGGTGCAACCCCTAATATATATAAAGTTGTGTATCGACGATAGTCAAGAGATATCGCCTGTTGCTGATGCCTTTGATGATAGCAAGACAATAATTTTTATTGTTATTATTATTATTATTATTATTATCCATCATAAATAGATAAGGCACCTATCTTAATGTAGCACGGAGAGCCGCTAATGGGACGCTTCAGAAACGTGCCACAGCGGCTGGTATAAAAACAAGCACTGACAAGAGTGGCCGTGTCGGAGCCGTAACGCACCGCAGACATGTGCAGTGTAAATAAGGGGTAAGAGATTTATTCATCATATGGTGTAGGTAGCTTCACTGATTATAATGGGAATGTTTTTAAAGAGCATATAATACTCACGCTAGACTGAAGTCAGTTATGATGTTCTTTGGTAATGTAAATATGCTTTGCTTGTTTCTTTTTGAATAACTCAGGAAATGTAACTGTTTTATTAACTGCTCGTCGTCAAACATTTCAAAAACATTCTTCCTCTCCTGAAAGATTCGCGCACGTCTCTGTCTCCTCAGTGCCATCACAAGCCCCTGCTGGCAACTCCTAACCAATTGAGAGACCTCTCGAGCTGTCTTAAATAACTGGGAGAGTAAGAGAGATTCTTAGCTTTAAGAAATTTGATAACTTGCTTTTATATAAGTTTGAAAGTAGGAGTAAATTTCATGAATTCAGTCAGCACTTAAGACTAAAATGGCACTTTGAGAAGCTTGATAAATACAGGCCCTGATGTTTTGCAATGCGACCTCACTCTCAACTGTCATATCAGAACTCAGGAGTCACTCCAAAGATTTTACATACGGGTTGTTCTTTATCACTCTGTTAATATGGAAGACAGTGGACTATCCTCTAGTTAGGTGTTAGACCATGAAAGCGTTATGGTGACAAGTCTATTCAAACAAAATTTGAGGGGTGTAATGTGGGTTTTGTTTCATGTTCATTGTTCATGTCTTTTATTTTGCAATTTTGTCATTGTCATGGTTCCTCTCTAGTCATGTGATTTTGCCAGTGGTCCTCTTGTTCATGTGTCATGTTCTGATTAGGGTTGTCACGGTACCAAAATTTCTGTATTCGGTACCAATACCAGTGAAAATCCACTGCTCTCGGTACCAAAGCAAAACACAAAAACATGCTAATTAAAAAACACATTATTTTTATTAATAAAGTCAAACAAAAATAAAATGTACAAAAATCAATGCCATTCTTTATACTTATTAAAAATTGTTTCAAGTTTTTCCACAAGTAATAAAAGTATGAAAAAAAGTAAACAAGTTTCACCCAAAAGTTTTTGTCATATTTCTGCTGCTACTGAAAAACAACTGTAAACGGTTGTCTGTTTTAGGGTTTGCTGGTGTGTTTCAGGATCTTCCTCAGCCTGCAGCTGTAAAAAGAAACTATAATATACTTAAGTAAAGCAATGGGCTGCGTCTGACCAAATGCAACATTAGATCACTGACAACAGCTAAAATATAACTTTTCAGTAAATAACAAACATCAGCTTTTATAATAAATTTAGATAAGATTACAAAAATGAAGTGTATATCAAATAGATGGAAACTGTTGTATTAAAAACACTTTACAATAAGATTTTATTTGTTAGATAACATGACCTAACAATAAACAATAGTTATATGGCAATTATTCTTCTTAGGGTTAATTTCAAAGTTCAATCTGTTAAAATTATTTAATGCACAATGAACAAACATGAATGATCAAGTGTTTGTATTAAATAACATTCACAAACATTAATGAATGTTTTAAAAATATATTGTTCACTCACTGTAAGATGTTACTAGATCTAACTCACGTTAGAAAACATTAAGTCACTGTACAGTAAAGTCTATACAGGAGATAAAATTTGACTGTACTTTTATTTAATCCAAACTGTGTTCATATTTAATTTTAAAGGGCTTTTAAAACCTGCTAGAGATATTCAGCCAAGAATTACAACTAACTAAAAAAAAAAAA